TTCCAAATATTCATAATTAATCCATCAAATTCCTGTAAGTGAACTTTTGTACATTTGCTTGTTGAAAACGATATTATGTTAGGGTAATGGTCACTTGCAACTATATCACAAACAACCCGTTTAACATTCATTGGCCTAAATACATCTCAAAAAAGACAAATTTCAGGGAAAACACTGTCCAATTTACCGCTGATATGAATGAAACCACGGAAGTAGGTTGGTTAGTGGTTTCGATTCACACACACCCCACACACACACACACACGCATATCACACACGTCACGCGTACACATGCATATTCTAAGCATTGATTACTGACCACTGTGACAGGTACTTGTTCCACTTCCCTCAAATAGCGTACATATGTAAGTATCATCACTATGCCCCGTCCACTGGCGTACGCAATCTTCGCACTGATTCAAGTCATCTGTAATGTCATACAAGCAACGTGACATCTCAAAGAATGACACATGTGTTAGTATTATTCTAACTGAGAGATAGAATCAGGGTAACCGATATGAGTTCATTCGGATACACCTCCCTCTCCCCAAGTGTTATAGATGTTATGAAAATTGCCGATACTGATTATTCAGCAATCGTTGCACGTCTTGTGTGTAATAAATTTAACAATACATGTGTGAAAAAACATGGTTAATATACTATGCCTTTTGCCTCGTCATCATATCGCCGATTGCGTGCCAATCCATTGAGTTTTCCAGGGAATATACGACCATTTTTATTTATGCTGTAAATCCATCCTATACCAAGAACCATTACAATCACAGCGATGAGCGTAAACAGCTTTCGAGTGTGTCTCTTCGTCATCCTTTGATAGTCTGTAAATCACATTGCAATGTCGTAAGTACGAATGATTTGTACACATAATAAGATCTACCCATTGAATAGTGTGAAATTGAACTTACTTGTGAACTATCCGTTGATACATGTGTACTGTAGTGCTGTCACATTGGTAATGTTGTACTGCTGCAGGATTGTTCCAATACTGTAATATACTATGTTTATATACACATTGTACCATTCAATAGAGAGACGCACCCAATGAGTCGTGTATTCAATGTGATACCGTTAATATGCTATCGTCGCTGCCGGGATGATGTGTTGTGCAATAAACCTTTTAAGAAAAGTGCTGGGTATAGTAATCTGTGTCATTAACTATTGTGACTGTTCCCAAATTACTACCGACTTTAATTTATTGCGATTGGTGCACCCTTATCCTCTACATTACTATACTCTGTCTTTTCATAGAGTATGTATGTAAGAATAGCAATGTTGATGTCGTGTATCTACAGTAATTCAGAGCCTAGTTTCTTTCTTCGCATTGTTATGAAGATTTAAAGTAATTGGCTACTTATATTGTTGCCGTAAAGCAAATTTGCAAATTCCACATTAATACAACCAATTTTGAAACGTTTGAATGTACTAAAAGCAGTTTTTACCGAGAATTACGTCTTGTATTTTTTTATTTGAAGCATACATATACTAATAGGCTGTTTCACGCTTATACTCAACACGTATTGACCGTAATATACAGACTCGTAATTATCGCAGTTTTAATCTGGGTAGATGGCGTATAGTGGTATTATTTCGAGTACAGCCTTGTAGTGTCGGTATTTTTTTGGTCGAAGCGTTTGACTGTAATCTAACTTTACCTTGAAACTTATAATGATATTTTTGGAGGTAACAGCGAGATGGAATTCTCGTTTAGAGGATCTCGCAAAATACAGATAGAAGATTCTTGGCATTTGTGTTGAGGTGAACAGGCGATTATCGGCAGCATAAAATTGACTTTACAGGTGATCATAGTGAAGTCGATATACACTGTTATGCCGCTGTTGTATGGTGTCTGCTGTTATATGTGCGATGCTTACTTTTGATAGCGGACAGTTTTGAGAATTATTTACTAAGGAAGTAATCATATTTGGAGATGCACCTTCGTTGTAGTAATTCAACAAACTTTTATCAGATTTACAGCAGCGTAGAGTGTGTGTCGCGCCCTCTATGGACGGTTGAGTAATTATTTTTTTGGTTTTATTTTACCTTTTCGAAAACGGTGAAGTTTTGTTTTCCTTTTGTTTTAGTTGACTCCAAGCATAAGTGCGAGGTCATCTGAAATACATTGCGCTGCATTCAAAGCTAACATAGTCAGTAAAGAACAACCTGTGACATAGATGTTGTATATCCTACAACGCGATACAATGGTAGAATAATAGCTTCAGTGACGTGTAGATATAATGAACGCTGGACAATCTATTAAAGCTGCTTTCATAGAGGACATCGTTTCTGTTTCATTTTACGTCATGGTTGAGCAAATGTGTTAATGGTGTCAAAGGTCACAGAGTTGATTTCATTCAAAACCTTAATATGAAGGTGTTTCCGTCAGTTTACTATGTGTAGTGAAGAAAAAGAGAAATTAAAATGTAATATTCCCGTGATATGAAACAGCAATACCAACCAATCAAATAAAACGCATATTTGAGCACAGTCCCCCTAACAGAGGGACTGTGATTTGAGTTACAATTTGTTTGTGTAATTTCTCTCTTTTTCATTGTCGATCTCGCTTAGGGATATTAAATCCGTGCAAGCCTTACTCACTGAGTAAATTGACTTGAGTCGGTTGTAATAGTATTGTTCTACGTGTTATGTTTTCATTGTCATGCATGTCACTCCTCAGCTCCCGAGAGCGTGTAATCACTAAAACGAATGACCGAACCGAAGGATTTAAACGGGGTTAATGACTACAAACCGCTGATACGAATAACGTTGTTATGCGTTGCATTTGTTCACAAATTATGCGTTAGCGATTAAATTTTCAAAAATACCTCGATAAAAATGTTACATGATAAATATAAGAGCGAAGAACCACGATTATATGTATCACGCGAGGTTTCTTTGTATTTATGTTGATGATCGTCACTGTGCCTCAAAAGTACGCTACTAACACACGCAACAATGATGCCATGGAGCAATAGCTTCACGATTTTACATATAAATAGACTTCTAACTTAATGCAGATATATTGTAAATCAGTGGCGGCGGCAGAGGGGGGAGGGGCTCGAAAAAATGTTGGGGGGCCTCCTAAATCAAGCTGAAACCCTTTATGTCAGCAAAATTTGTCCCTCAAAATGCAGAAAATGGCATTTCAGAGGGTCTAGATTTCAATTTTTTAAGGGGGAGCATGCCGTCTTCGGCGCGGGATTGGTGAGCAGATTTCGCCCCCCCCCCTTCATGTAAAATTTCGTGCCACCGCCTCTGTAAATTACACAGAAGTAACACTACAACATTTTCTTTTACATTCCTTTCTATTACACAACAGTCTTTATGCTGAGGCAGTTATGGTTCACCAGTTCTCTTGTACTTCCTTGTCTTGAGTACAATAACCGAGATGCTACTTAGATCGTAACCTTATACAAGCTTCGCATTATCTCGTTGTTAATCATCACATACCCACGAGAAGATGGATATGAAACTTTGTATTACCTTTGACGCAAATTGGTTATAACTTACTAATTAAGCTAATTAATGCTAATTAAGTCTTAATTGGCGTTAATAATCCTTAAATGCAGCTGACTTACTTTCTGTTTATAGAAAATCTTCCCTGGGTCAACAAAAATTGTCAATTCGCAAAATATCTAAGAAGGGGTCTCGTGAATTACATGTGTAACTCTTGTTTATAGCTAACTGTTTTTTGCAGTAACATACAGACACCGCACGAAATTTGGCATCTGCTCACCATCCTTGCGCCGATGACTTGACCATTATACCAGGGGTTCCGGCGGCATGCTCCCTCCGTCTTAAAAATTTGGAAATCTAAACCCTCTGAAACGCCATTTCCTGGATTTTCAGAGCAAAATTTGCTGACACAAAAAGGTTTCGGCTTGATTTTGGAGGGGCGACGCCCCCCCCCCCCGTGCCGCCGCCACTGACAAACACTGTAGATCGTGGATCGACTAATCACGTGACATACATTATGAAGGATGTCAGGAATGAATGAAGTGAGTGGAAGTGCTATATTAATAATAAAATACTTTATTGAAAAACACATCCACATATGGAATCTTGATAAAATGCAATTAAATTTGAGCCTTAAAAGGATAATTGAAGAGATGACGGTGAGAATTTAGGCAGATGGTAAGTTTGTTTTAAGGCTATTAGTTTAACTTCTTAAAGTGAAGCATTTGAAAATGTATTTACTTGGACTCATAAGACTATGATTTTCTGTATTTGTTTTTTGGAGGGCAAGAGGAGATAGCTGGTACAGGTTACAGGAAATAAGAAAGATATGTTACGTTTTTACTGGAAATAAAATAAAGTTCCATTTACAGATGAAACAAATTCCCAATTACATTTTACATTTTTCAAAATATATTTGATAATTTGTGTTTAAGATTCAAAATTGGAAATTGCGTGCGAATTGCGACATTTAATGTAGAAAATGCTTTAAACGCTTACAAAAATTAAGATCTTTGTACAAATTTACGGACTAATAAAGTAGCTGATTACATTTTACACCGTGTCTACGAATTTGTACGTTTTTTTATTTATTTAAATTACATTATTACGAAAATAAAAACAATTGATTACAGCTTACGAAAATTCCCCTTGCCGTTTTATTTGTTATAAAGACGAGCATAATTATGTACAAGTATCTATTTGATCTGACCATGAAAAGTTTTCAGCAATGACTGAGTCTGTTTATCACTTGATGAATATATTAATTAATTTTAATCCTTAGAGATATTGGCTAATTAGGCTTTTGCACTCATCACGCTATTATCCCACGCGGTCGTTTCAGTGAAAGTCCCTCTTCGCCAATAATGAAATCTTCCACTGATTTGCATACATTATATTGTTCTTGGTCTGGAGTTTGAAATTCTCTGCACAGACGCTTACAGCTTAAAAAGTTGTTTGCATCAATACGTTAACTGGGTGTGTCTCCTGGGCCAACTTTGATTTGTTTTTAAGTTCACCAGTCTGTTAAAAATGAGACGCACGAATGAAATTTCGCTACTATTTCTCGCTGTTGTCGTTGCTCTTTCAAGGGCTCATGTCCGAATAACTTTTCCTGTAGCCAGGCAGCCTGACTTCGATTTTCTTGACAACATCCGGACACAGGGACCATGCGGCGTGATGCGATCAGGTAATATACGCAGAGATTGCAACTTTTTTATACTGATTATCACCTGTGCATTCAGTATAACTTGTGACAACTCGTAGCGAAATTGATGGGGAATATACTTAAAAACTCAATTTTGCCGTGCGGGTAGTAGGCCCGGGTACACTAGCGAAGCTCCGAGCTGAGTGAAACGTTTCGAATAAAGATAATTGCAACAACGGCCACTAAATAAACCTTGTTTGGCAACCGTACTACCTACCACATTCAGTTTGAAATTATGCACACAGATTAATAATGTGTTATTTGTAACTACAGATGGTGGTCCTGTGACAAGTCTTCGTAGCGGCCAATCTATCAACGTAACATGGCATTTGGCATATGCACACAGGGTGAGTACTCGTAATAAGTTACTTGTAGACATTACAATGTTGATTTTCTTTTATTGAAATTAAATACACATGACATTATCAATATTTATTTATTTATTTATCGTATACATAGTCTATACAGTTATACAATTTTGGAAATAGTTATATATAATACTTGATTTCGTTCAATGTTTGTTGTGATTACTGTGCCTATAGCAATATTCCATGTTACAAGCCTTCCATCACTAGATGTTCCACACCTTAGTTTTTATGGGAATTACACACTTGAATGCCACAATAGCAGATATCTTAGCAACAAGGCTTAGGTGAAAGACCTCTAAATAAATATGCTGCATATCCAAATAATTGTACGGGTGCCATTTATTGTGTTTTTGTTTGCTTTATGAAATTATTTTGAAATTAATTTTAAAATGTCCAACAACCAAGATATTTGCTTGTTACTTTTACGATATCTACTTGAAATACAATTTGGTAAACTATTTACGGGGTACTTAATACATTTTATTATTTCCTGGTTAATTTGGTTCACTTTTACTTTAAGATTGGCATTCATCCAAAAATTAAAAATGCTTCCGTGTTGAGTTAACCAGCTATCCGTGACTACATGCGAGTACAGGACAAATCAACGCTTAATAGAATTACACCATTTTGTAAATAAGCGCAGACCAGCCTAAACTCGGGATAGAAGAGAATAACATATAACTGTTGAGAAAAAATATATATAGTACTAATGATCATCCAGAAAATATCCTGAAAACAGGCCTAAAAACTGAGAACAGTTTGTTAAACCTTTCCCCTGGTTAAGCATAGCATAGCTTAGTATGCATTTGTGCTGTTTTCACACGCTCAGCAACGAACAAACAATAATACGTTGTGGTATACGCACACTGCTATTAATGGAACGTGTCGTGCTCTCCATTGAGTGTCTTCAGGCTATATACATCAGTAAATTACTGTATTGTAAAGTATTTTCTGCTCAGAAAAATCTGGGGGCTCAGATAGTGGTGAAAACCTTAAAGAGTTCATATATTACGTCCAGTGTTTCAATTAATGTTTCATTTAAAAATGTGTGTATTTTTTATTAAAATTTTAGAAATAAAATGAAAAAAAAATTAGTTTAAAGTTAAAATAAAAACTTTGGCAATTTCAAAAAAAACAAATGGGCTAGAATTTTTTTTTTCGTTTTTACTTGACCTTTTTTGAAGTGTTGTTCATGTATGTCAGGCTACTCTAAATGGAAATGACAAAGACATAATATATGGGAGGTGTGTTGAAAGTTTATCAGAGTACAATAGACAATACTATAAATAGTCCAAGCACACGTGACACCTTGAAATGATAGTACCCCGGTATCACGATGACTCCACAAAACTGAAAAGTTAATTGAGATTGTTTCTTTTCATGCATTGGAATTTAAAGGCGTGTCAAGCAGTGCTGGTCAGTACCTGGTATTTGTCACACTGGAGGCGGATATTAAATTAGCTTTTTCCGGGTTGGCAATTCATATCCTTTCAGTGAAGGAGTTAGGGGGGCAGTCATTTTAAGATACCGGGTATTTGTAATTTGTTAAAAAACTCTTGAGTTTTTAATGAATCTGATTTTAAAGGGAAAACAAATTGCTTTGATGGTTGTTACTTGTGTAATATTATATCCTACCCCGAGAGTCGTCCACAAAAACCACAACATTATTTCAGATGACCTGCCCTTGAGTTAAGTTAGACATATTGCCATTGCTCCTTTTCAGTTTGAAAGGTTGTGATTTAACACCTGCTATTTAAGTGTGTTTGTATTGTATGCTACAACTTCCGGGTTGAGAAATTCCTTCCTCATTTAATTGGTTCTTCAAGTACAGTCAAACCCCTGTAACCCACTTTTAGGCAGTGCCATAGCATAAGTGTCAGCAACCTGTGTATAAAGAC